AAATCAATATGTCTCTGCAACTTCAAGCTTTTCTCAGCTCTGAGATAATTACAACTCTCTGCTCCTTTAGAAAGAACATTTCTTGAGAAAAAACAATTTCACTCAGAATGTGGCCCTTGTGATCTAAAAAATCCTAAATCATCTGGGCAGCAAACATGTGGGGGAAAAAAGGCAAGACAAAATATTGCAAAAGAGCTTCCATAGGAGCTTTATGATTTACATTAAAGCTTGGCTATCAAAATCACTCCTGGTGTGAAACACAAAATGGATACCCAAAGATGATGAGGCATTCAGATTTGAAAAGCACTAAAACAATTCAGCTATATGCCTCTGCTTTTCTGCATAAAAAGCAAACTCCTACACTCATCAACAACCAAAGCTTAAATTACACAGGGATTAGGCTATATTCAGGCAGAGGTTACATAAATTATTATCCTCCTCATTTTACAATTTTGAGAACTAAGCAACAGAAATTATAAATCATGACTTTAAAAGAGAAACTTAATTGAATGGAAGAAACTTGTCTATTGCAGGAGGTTCATACAATATACTCTCCACAAACTCTCACAACTGTAAATAGGTGATCAGGCATAATTAGGTGAATTGAAATTTGGGTGGTAGCCCAAATTGGGTGGTATTTGCTTCAAATACCCAATTAATTGCATGTTGGAGAGAAAATATGAGTAAGTTAAGCAGTAATGGAAAGACTACAGGTGCATAGATTTGGTCAACAAACAGATCTAAGAAGTTTTGGCATAGAAACACCTGCGCCAACTTCTTAATGGCTGTTGCCATGGAGACACAAAAAAAAGAAAGGGGAACAATTTTGGGGTATTAAAAAAGATGAAAGATTAAAAAAGATGTGACTGCCACTCTGCAGTTATCAGCTTGCTGGTTGAGAGCTAATTTCGTAACAATAATAACATGCCAGAATGTTTCTAAGATCTGTGAGTGGAAGCAACCCTCTCTTTGTTCTTACAATTCCCTTCTTGTCAGGCAGGAAAGACAAACAGATGTTTTATTGGAGCCTATGAAGGTCATTCAAGAAAAGAACAATTCAGTATGTGAAGAAGAGGGTATGTGTTGCTTTGCTTTTGTTGTTTTTATTAGCAGCATTAAGACATTTAACCAGGAAAATAATACTTCTTTATGGTATACTTGCAAATCTTGCACTCATTCAATATTTAGATTAACCAACTATTTGAGTTTCTGAAACTTCCTGCTCACCCAGACAGGGTCCCAGTATCAGTTTAACAGAATGCCTTATCAAGGATGTTTATGTCTCTCCTCACTTCTCCATCACAATTTTCTGAAACAATTGTTTTAACTCTTTAGCAAATTTTTCTTCACAGCTCTTCATATGAGTGCTGAGATAATATCTTGTAGCAAAAATTAACATCAAAATAACAAGGATTTTATAAAATATTTTGAGGCAACAAACAGTAGTAGTCTAAGTAACCTAACAACAGGAATGATGAGCTGGACAAAGGATCCCCTTGTTTTGAAGTGACAGAGAAGGTAAAAATCTGCATATATTACTTGATCATAAAATGGCCCTCAACTACTGATCTGAAGTGACCATGACAGAAGAATGCTTTAGAGAAATTTTAAAACTCCGAGGTTTTGGTATCAAGCAGATATGACTCAATGATAGAATACAAAATTCTGCTCAGTCATGTTTGCCAAAGATGAACTGAAGTTGGAATAGTGGAAACCATAAATTCCCAGGATGACCTGAACTTGCTTAGCTCAGTTAAAGCAATACCAAGAAAGAATATATTTCTTGTCAGCAAATATATCAAAATGCAAACTTGAGAACTGGAAATAATGCTCTGTGAGACAAACAACATTAGAAAAATGCATATGAAATGACAGCAAATACTCTGAAGCTGGATACTAACAAAATTTTTATCCACCGTGAAACCCAGACTCCTCCAACTACTCTAGTAAGCTCAAGAATGTATCTAGTTTCAAGGTAAATGCTTGGTAACTGAGCACAAAAGATTATATGATTCAGTGACTGAGTATTTCCCCAGATTTTTTTTCCACTTGTGCTTGGTTTAAGTGGCAAGGTTTTGGCAGCAGTGGGGTGGCTGCAGGACCCTATGCCTGAGCAGGAGGATATTTCCTGAAGGAAGTTTCAGCCTGTGGAGAGACCAAGCTGGAGGTATCATGGGAAGAAGACCCAGAAAAAGGAGAAGCACAGAAAAAGTGTGAGGAGGAAGGAGCCAGAAAGAGGAACTGTTACGGACTGACTGCAACCCCTCATTCCCCTTCTCCCTGTGCTGCTGCCATGGAAGAGGATGTAATAAAGAAGCCAGCATCCCTGTCTTTATGTCCTCCCATGAACTTTTCCATCACATTTCCCCCCCACCCCCATCCTGTTAAACAGATACTGCAAATGAATTACTGATCATTGGATATGGCTAGTCATTTCCTACATATTCTTTTAGGTAACAAAGTAACTGATTAGTTACTGATCAGTAACAGCACTACAACTGTTTTCCTTTGGCTGCTTGCTCCACCACAGACTGCTGTTGAAGTCTAAATTATCATTAATTATGTAACTGAAGAACACCAGCAGTTTAGACTGAGTTGTCCAAGGTATATGGAAGATTAGAGAAATAAAGGAAAGGGGAACATTGGAACATTGCTTATAAGTCAGATAGCCTGAAATAAGATGAGAGTGATGTGAATGAAGTCATCTTCCCTTGGTATGCTCTACTTTACTTTTAAGAAAGACAAAAGCAACCCTTTATGTCATCTTGCTGTTATGGGAGGAACCAAGAAATTTGATATGCTGGGCCAGAAACGCCGAAGTATTGGCAAGGAAATCAGAATGCAAACCACAGTTGGAAACACCATGCTGTAGCACTGCAGCAAAAGAGAGTTTCTAAAAATCTCTGGTTAGTTCTTGTAGAACATATAAGGAAACATTGCCTAGGGAAACCAGATTTAGTCTTGCAGTTATAGAAAATACCCACTGGTTCTACAGGAAAATAGGCAAAGATAAGTACCATAACTTGTAAGTCAAGGATTTGTATCTCTTTCCTAAAGTTTTTCCTCTGGAAAGGAATCAACAAATAATCCTCCGGATCTCTCCTAAATTTCTCCATTGCTTTTTAGTATATTTAAGATAATAAAAACAGCTAGCCAGAACCAAATCCTATCATAACTGCTTGAGGACTTGTTGAAATAGCCTGAAAGCTGTTTTCTCGTAGCATCCCAGGAGACCACATTGTGAACATTGAATTTCTTTAGAAACTGTTGATATTATAAACACACTCTGAAATACTAGCTAACTTAAAAGAATATTTCATCTTCCTATTTCATTTGGTTGACTTTTATAGCCAGAAATCATTACAGTTTTGGTAAATCTCCCCTTGCTGATAACTCCTTAAGCTGTTAATTTGGGTTTACTTATGAAAACAACATTGTTAAAATGTAAATCTGATTTTCAGTCTCCAGATGCTCAGGATATAACGTTCACCAGAGAGTGAGCACTAGTAGTGAGAGGTCAGATCTCCCACAGCCTAGTTTCTTAGGCCTTATGACCAATGCAAATTTTCCCAAATGCCTCAATTGCTAAACCCCCATGATTTTCCAGAGCACTAGTTTGACCAACATTTTGGTTTACAATTAATCTCCTCTGGATTAAACAACAGTTACAGCATATATTATGTGCCACCTGTAAAAACCTCCAATACATTTTATCCTGTCCATAGATAGCTCATCAAATATTTTAAAAAAGGTGAAACAGTATTTCTTCAACAATCAGTTTTTCCTTTCTACTTGCATCAGTTTTGTGTGAGTAATGCAGGTTCTTCCTTATCTCTCTGAGATTAATTCTTACCCCCCAACAAAATCTGTCTCATCTACTCTCCCTCTACAAAACACTGGATCTGAAAACATCTTTTACAACTTTCATGCATGTTCATCAAATGAAGTCTAATATCTTTCTCAGATGATCAAGGATCTCATGTGGCAACACTAAAAATTGTTCAAAAATTCTTTCACAGTAATAATTTTAATCGAAGCCTGACTATCCTTTGATAACTTGTTTCCCAATATGGAGGTAGAAAGTGGAATGCAAATGGAGTTTTCAGTCTGACACAGTTACAAGTGCAGAGTTCAATTCTCAAAGTGAATTCAGAAATTATACATAGTTATATTCCCTAAATCACCATGGTAATTATTGTGACCCAGAACAAGGACCTTCATTTTAAAGTAATTTTAATTATGAACATTGTGAATTGCAGAGGTTTGGGAGAGAAACTGGGGCAAAGTTTTGCCATCTCCCTGGTGCAATGTGGGTGCTCCAGAAGAATTCTGTGAGAATGTGTCAGGACAGGAGTCTTTCTTAAGTCCTGGTCCCTTGGGGCATATTGTCCAGTTTGCACCTTGCAACATTCACAAATCCTTTAGCACCTTCCAGTGAACTTCACTAAATCAGTGTTGGATTATAATTAGGCCAAAATAATGGTTTGGCAAAATAATCTATTGATTGTAAAAATGTCTAACTAAGAGCTTTTTGGGTCTAAATACTCATGTAAAGTGATACCATCTTTGTGGGTTTGTAAAGTTCTGAGGGAATACCAGAAAAAGTAAGTAGCAAACAACAAAATTTCACCTTTTTTTTCTTTTTTTGTAGCTACTTTTATTTCATTTTACATATCTGTTGGGTTTTTTCCACTGGCTGCACTTCATTTCTGTTAAAAATGTGTACATTATGCTGAGGCTTTGGCTTTTAAATTGTTAGCTGAACTGACAGTCTAACTGTCAGTTAGGGACTCCTTGGACATAAATTAATTGGACTTTGTGGATGTAGGTTTCCTGTTACAATTGCAAATTTGTTTATCTAAGCAGTTTTTCCTTTTACTTAAGGAACATAATTCAAATACCTTTTAGGAAAAAGCACACAGCATAAACCTGTTGAAAATACCATAAAGACTGTGTCCCTTACCTATATCGTGTCTTATGTTTAAGTAACATTGAGATTATTTTTCCACAATTAGAATGAGCAGTTTAGTATAGTGGTCTTGTTAGTAATGAATGAACTCTTCAGTAAAAGAAGTCCTCAAGAGTTACAGTTCAGTTCGCACATTTTTGGGGGGAGTTTAGCATCCCATCACATTTCTTGTCTTAGTGGTAATACAAAACATGTCTATCTACCAATGAGGGATATGCTCCTATCTGTCCTCATTAGCAGAGGATTTCTGTTCAAATCCTTTCATAATTAAAAGAAAGCAATAGATAATCATCTCATATTTCCATGAACATATACTGTAGGATAACATGCATTTTAATTTTTCATTTACCAAAGAACTGGTGACATGCAGTTACACACCACTCCTATGTCCAGAACCTCAGCTTTACACAGTAGGCATCAGATACTGCTTAATTACACAGCTCAACAGCACAATCTCTCTTCACATTGTCTTTTTTATTCCAGCTTGACATGGGTTTTCTCCCAGTTTTTATTGTACCATCTACTTTGAAATTTCAGAGATTCAGTGTGTCTCCGGCCCTGACTGAAAACCTTCTGTCTAAATAAGCCATACACTCAGAGTAACAGCTTTTTACCAGTCAGATATAAGTGGAGCACAATATAAACCTGCACTGCTCTGGCATCAGGATATAAACCATGAAAACACATAAAACAGACACAATGAAAAATCTCCTTCCACCTTGTGTGAAGATAGGTATAACGGACATACTAGAAATTATAACAATACAGAATATTCCTGATTGTATCTTTCACCAACAGGAGTGGACATCCCAATCACTGGGAAATAAAGGATAAATTTTTTACATCATCACTGACTTTGACAGTGATCTTGGTGAACCATCACTCCTCGAGTTTTATAATAGATATACACAGGAATAATAAATCACACTCCATTTATCTGCTGTGTATATTGTTTTAAAGCAAAGAATACAGACGTGAACATATTGGAAAATCAAATCAGTAGGCACTACCAGTCAGTAAAAAACAGTAATAACAGAAGTCAGTAATAAAGCCAGTGAGAATCTTGAAATGAAAGACAGTAGGAGTGGTAAAAATTAATTCTAAGAAAAACTCTGGAACTACATTTTACTGAGGAATGCAGTTAACTTGACAAATATTTTATAAAGTCTAAAATGGCTCAAAAAATCACACATACAACTTAGTAAAGAAGTCAAGAGAAACAATATTTACAATTTTCTTATTGGCATGAGGGTACAATATTGTCAGTAGAAATCTGTCTCATTTTAGTCCTACCAAGCCCTGGAACACATTTTACATCTGCAGTAATTTAACAGGCACTAGAATTTATGTGAGCCCTCTGTGACTTTTCTCTTATACTAGAAGAAAAGAATTTCCTGAAAAAAAAAACCCAAAAATCCCACCGCCACCACCAGAAAACCCAGAATATTGCTGATCTGAGAGGAGAAAACAATGTTGGCATAAGATGAAGAAGGGAAATTGGAAATGACAATTTTCATTAGACCAAGTCAGGAAAAAATTAAATTGCTCATGATATAAAAATGAAATGACTGAGGTAATTTAAAGCAAGAGCAGAAGAAATTTGTAAAAATTAGATCAGAGCTACAGTAAGTTTCTCAGTGGCCACAGATAAAGTCCTTATTAACACAGCAATGTGTGAGAAGGCTGTGAACTTACAAAAACCTCTTCCACAACTACCAGAGATCCAAGAAAGGACCAGTAACATGGACCACCATTTCCAGTGAGGGATTTCAAAAAGACACGATACCTTCAAGTTTAAAAGACATTAACTAAAGGAATTTTTAGATGGAAAGTGAGAGCTGGTGTTTATTGTAGAAGAGGGTAGGAATTCCTCTACTAGAATTGGAGAAACACAAAAGGTTTAACTCAAATTTTAAGTCATAGAGGCTCAGAGAGGGAGCAGGTTGTTGATCTCATGTTACAGAACAGGGGGAGAAGGAAAGTTTAGCACCAATTTTTTTGTACAATGGATTGTATAAATCCATTGGATTTATACAATGGATTGTAGAAATCAACAAATAAACAATAAAATCATCCCAACAAGGAAAGTGACAAAACCCATGCAAATAGAGATTATAAAGTTCATATGACTGAATTTTACTTATACTTGTATCGAGAGGTCCTGAACCCAATAGGTGTTAAGATTAATACACTATTCTGTAACAGACTGTTAATGAAGCTGTTTCCAAGAGAACCAGACAAAATATTAAAATTACTTTACATTATCAGTTATTTCACCTTGAAATAGAACATGAGATGTAATTGTTACTCCAAAAAGTCTGAAAAGTAGGTTGTAACCTGCAAATCCTTTTGGTGAACAAGCTGAAATTTTATAAAAATATATTACTTTCTACAATATCTCTGATAGGCAGCTGAAGAGAGAGTATTGCAAAATCCCAAGGCTATTAATTAAATATTGACACCAAAGTACATTTTATGTTCTTAGAAGTGCATATTGCCATGTAGAATAGGAGCTGTGTAAAGGATAGGAGATGTATTGTAATATGTTTTGGATAATCTGTTTGCTGGAGTAATGGGATACAATTTTAGCAGGGCATACTGAAAGAAGCCACTTTCAGAACAAACAGCAGATAAAATAGATTGTCTGTGATTTGTTTGAAATGGACTCTAAGGAAATTAAGTAGTTCAGGATTTTTTTTCCCCATAAAAAACTCAAGTGTATCCAAAACCGTGGCATACTCAAGTGTATGCCAGCCAGTCTGGCACTTCGATCAGAGCTTTGTGGAGTTCTGCTTCCATTGCAGAAGGGTTATTTCTCTGTGGAACTCAAGCCCCTTTATGGGAACGAGAAACCCTTTCAGGGTGTTGAGTGTAATCTTCAGGATTTCTATATCTGAGGAAGTATCTTGTGATTCCCACATTAGTATTTTCTTCTAAGACACCTTTTTAACAGAAGCAGGTGACAATATAGCAACATAATAACACAAAGCCTTGGGGGATGCTAATTATAGCAAGTTTATATTTTATTTAGGTGAGGTTTTTGCATCCATCTACAATTCATTAAAATAATGTTTCATTTATATCCTCCTACCTCATAATTCCCAGGTAATTTGTATTATTACATTTCAGTAATGAAATAAAGGGGGGTTTTATCTGTGATCAGTAATATTAAGATTGTAAGAAGTTAATAGGATAATAATACAAAGAACTACAAGTGTGGGTGTTCCTTGCAGTGTTGAAGGAAAAATTGTTGGAAAGATAAGTCTTCAAGTTGCCTATAGCAATTCTGATGAAATTACATTGGGGGGGGAAAAAAAGAGTGGCAAGATAGAAGTAATATCCTTGAACAATTTGTTGTCAAAGATGCCAAAACTGCTTAAGCTTGTGGCAAATATAAGATTACCCACATCGAATTTCAACAATTGTCCTCAGCTGCTGAGAACCAAGAAATGATGTGCATGTACCCCTTTTCAGTCCCACCAGATGGATCTGTAGAATCATAACAGATCTGTGCAGATCAGACCAATTTCACACCACTCTGTTTAATTAAGTTTTGAGAAAAAAAAGGGGTTTTGATTTGCCAAGGATATGAAATGGAGTATCCAGATGAAATGGACCCTTATCCAGATGAAGGGTCCCCTTAGCACAGACTGATATGACATTGTCATGAACTTCTGAGGCTGCCAAAATATTAGTGACAATACCACGAATACTGGAGTGATATTTTTGAAAAATCAGAATTACATTTATCTATTATTTTCAGTGAACCTTCATTAACCTTGAATATATATATAGTACACATTCTTTTATTCATCCCAGTATTTATGAAATCATTGAAATTAAGCCTCTAAGTGCAACCAAGTGCTGCAAGTAATTTTGGGATGAGATTTCTATGGACCTTCCACAAGGAAGGTTCATAGAACTTTCCAAAAGGAAAGTTAAGAATCAGAAAAAAAAAAAAAAAAGTAGAATTTTCAGAACTGATGATACAATAGCACCTCAAAAACACCTAGTAATTGCTCATGCCTGCTCCAGAGGTGATAATATTTCTTTTTAAGCACTCCTTAGGCTGCCAGACTCACAAAAAAGCCAGGAGCTATTCTGAAGGCATTCCTTTCTTCACTAGCCCCACAGCAGAACACAGCTGTACAGAGCCCAAATACTTTATTACATTCTGTAACAGGAAGAATCATCTCAGACGACATTTTTGTACCAACAAGACCACAATAGTAACCCACAATAATTTAATTTCCTAATTTGATTTTTCTTATGGAAGAGCCACTCTTACTCTGCATATTAATACAGTACATTTTTAACATGGTTTGTTGAAGATCCATAAATTTCTACAGCAATCCAGTCATTACCTCATCTCTACCACAGCCATGTGCTCAGAGTTCTGCAGGATTTATTTATGCTTTTCATCTCAGAAATAGCAGGGATGGATTTGCTTTTTTTGTGTCCATGAAACAACAGCAGTATCCATGTATCACTCTGGTAATTGTTGGGAAAGGTTGATTTTATAATGATGACTAATGTACATTTCTGGGTACACTGGAAGCAACATCAAACCTGGTTTAAATAAGGGTTTCTTATAATGAATGTGTCTTGCAAACATCTCTTACTTTTAGTGCCATAATACAGTGACACCACATGCTACTGATGAGAAGTCTCTGAGTTGATTTTCACTCATGTTTATTCATACCTGTCATCTTCACTACTGATAATTTTCTAGGTAAACCCAAGACAACACCATCAATTAGACTGAATGGCTAATCATGTATTTGACCCTACCAAGTAATAGTTTCTCTGACTCTATTCTAGCTTTCAGTTTTTCTAAGTTTAAACAAAGTTCACTTAACTGATCTGTAAGTATTCAGACTTTAATGGAAATAATTGTCCTTTAATTTACACATTCCTGTGATTGTTTTCCTGGAGAGAAGAAATGTGCCTATCACCCTGCAGCATGAAATTCTTTGGAGATTGTATCTTTAGAAATTAATGGTCAGGAAGTTTCAAGTGTTTAGTTTTAAACCACTAAAAAGGTGAGGCATATTATTACCAACACTAGTGCCATAGGAAAACCTTTGTTATCAGTTTTTAGGACAGACAATGTTACAGTCTCATTTGGCAGTAAAAGTTCAAGCAAAATATTTTTATAAAGACTGGTCAGAAAAGCATATGTAATTTCATATTTGGTTTATTCTGGTCCCAACTGAAAATGTCAGTCTGACATCCAGCCTTTCTCCTTGAACAAGTATTTTTTAAGTATACAAGAAGAATAATGCTGGAAAATTACACAATTATACTCTCTTCATCAGTCTTTAACCTTTCTCAATCTCCAGTCATTGCAGTCATAACAGATCTGTGCAGATGGGACCAATTTCACAAAGCCAGGAGCTGGACATGAATCCTGGTCATGGTTTATTCTTTTCTACACTGATTCCTGTAATGTGTGGAAACATATTTAGAAATAAATAAGGTGCCATCTTTAGCGCAATCAGGCAACTTGTGAGGAGAAAAGTTAGACTTTACTGTCTTTGAAAAGATGGATAATGATGAACATCTAGTTGTTTACCAAAAGGGATCTAAATACAAGGGAATTATGATGGCTTCACATTCTAAAGCTTGATAAAGCTTCTTTTAGTAAGTTAGGTTGGAACCTTTGGCTAAAGAAAATTCCAAAGTTTAGTTGACCTTGAGTGAGGGTAACTGAGTTGTCTCTCAAACAGATGAGCTTTCTCTTGCTCACTGAGAAATATTACTGATAAAAATCTTTTTAGAAAAGAACTGAAAGCCTGGAAGTCAAGATAACTTCTGCATTGGCAGCTGTAGCTAGAGTAACCTCCAGGGCTGAAAAATGCAGACTGCTTCAGAAGAATAGTTCATATCCCTTTTCCTCTTAGCAATTTTGTACAGCTTTTTCACCATTTATCTTGGAAACAATAGGAACTTATTCCAAGGGAAAAGTTTGTTTCTTGCTAAATCAATTCATTTTGTCTGGCCTTTCTCAAAGAAGAACTTCTAAAATATAGTACTTTTCAATTTGTCACTGTTATAAATGCTTGTATAAAAAATTATACCATATATTCAATTACCTCTGTTATTTACGGAGATAGTCAATGTTGCACCATATATAATTACCACAATATTGTACATTTCCTTGAATAATTTTTAAACTGAACAACACTATAAATACACTATAAATAAGTTAGAAACACTATAAATAAGTTAGAAAATTTATCTACATCTGTATAATTACCAGTAAAAAGAAGGTGAATATTTGTGCCTTGGTCAGCAACTTTAATTATTTATCTTTTAAATGAACAAAAATCCAACATTACCTCACCACAGAAGACTGAAGTTTCCTAATGAGAAATAAAGTAGTGAATAGATGAAAAGCACTACAGCTCAGTCAACTCATAGATAACCTTGAAAAACACATTTCTGTGTGTGTTCAATGCAGCAGACAATCATCATTTTGAGATATTCATCTCCTCTGGGCAGCAGATAACAGCCCAAGTACTGCAGAAGGTCTCCAGGCCTTTTGTCTCCTGGGGATGGACACATCACTTCTTTACTGAGGCAGAAAGGGTCCCAAAGCCAATTGCCTTTGCTAAGATATTTTTCTCTGCTAGCATATGATCAAGGAAAGCTTAAAGATTGCAGAACAAGCCTAGAGGTGATTTTACTACAAATTAATTGCCCAGAAAGTTGTAAGGAAATCTACATTTCTTCACAACTATTAAAACAGTCAGCCAGTGTGATGCAGCAGTTTGCCTACAGGATTTGTTTAAACCAAACTGGTCTTTCAATTACTACACATGTGCCAGTAAAAAAAACCCAGCAAGCAAACAAAACCAGGCAAAACAAAACAAAAACCATAATCAAAACAAAATGGTAATATTTTGTGTCTCATGTTCATAATGTAATTTTGTGAATGGATAAATTTGTGCATCATCTGAAAAGGGACTGAAAGTCCTTTGACATTTGATTTTTTTTCTCCTAGCCAGAAAGTTCTATATTATTAATAGGTCTTATTAAACTAACAGGAGCAAGCAGACAATTTCACTTTGCAAAGAACAGAGAGGTAAAATCTGACCTTTCTACTCTTTGAAAAACAGTAATTTATTCATATTGTCTGAAGATCACTGTTTTCCTGATAACAATAGGGAGGGCATGTTTTGCATTTCTTATGTATTCTAAACACCTGATAGCTTAAACAATGAAGAATATAATTCAGGATTCTTAATGAAGAAATGTAAATTGGCAGAAAATGCAGGACAAACCCTGAGTAGATATACATTATAAATGTATTCTATAAATTATCACAACTGTGTGTTCTTATCAAAAATAGCTTTCACATGAAACAGGTATTCAGAAAAATAACCAGCATATGGTTCACTGCTTTCATTTGAATTTGACAGGTAAAATGCCTCAGCGTGTATTAACCTAATTTAAAATATTTGAAGAAGGAATAATAAGAGAGAGGTTTTTTTTAGCCTAAATTTCATTTCGATTAAACTGAAAATATTATTCATAGTCTCTGCTGTCTGAAATTTGCTTTGCTGATGATGTGTACATAGCACTGAGTGTATTTTAAATATACACAGGGAAAGGGGAGGGAAGAGGTTGTCTGTCTCCAGAGCAACATACCCTGCTAACATGCCCGGCACTGTCGTAGCTGCAGCTCCCAGGCCAGTGGTCCGTCTGTCCCATGGAGCCAGCACCAGACTGAAGGTTAAAGTCAGGTCAGACAGAGCTTTAAATGAGGACAGGGCTGCTGTGTACATCCAGCCTGTGAACACAGCTATCAGAAGAAAAGGCAGCACCACTGCAGTACCCAATTTAGAGAAAACAGGAAGATCTAATCCAATAAATATTGGCAGAAATGGTACCTTTTTTAGTTTGCTTTGACAGTTATTATTTTTCAATTAATTATACCAATTTAGTTGTGGATATTAATAATTAGTCATAGTTTCTTTTCTTTCTTTTTATTTAGAGTCCCTAGAGGTGTTTCCAGAATTTGTGGACAAATATTGTCTTGGTGGCTAACATTTACAATACTTAGATCATTCTTGCTCCAGGAAGCTTTTTGTTATTCATTATTACAATGTACAACCACAAAATAAATCACCATTAAAGAGCTCTGTAGGCAACCTTCAGATCATTTTGACTCAACTTCATTTAAAACAGATTTTTGAAACATAATCTTAAACTATGAGGCTGTCATGATATTTTTGACATACATTTGACAAACAGTCCTTCTTTCCTTCTTTAAGCCTATTACACATCCACTGCATATCACAAATTCACACCTTCCTAATCCAGTACCTTATCATATAGTCATAATAATTTGAAGGACAATCGCTTTAGTTAATCCCAGCCCAGTCCTTCTCATGAATCTGTCCCCTTCAGCAATGGTTGTAAATCACAGAAGTTTGAATTCAGTTTTGCTATTTAATTTTTAATGTCCTACTACTTCTAGGAGGGTAAGTGAAAAAACTTAAAACATGTAGCATCAACAAATGGTGTTTTATTCATTGATTGAAATAAAACACTATCTGCTACCATAACATCAAGAAAGGCATTTTTAAAAGTTAATTTTAACTCTCACTTTAGTATAACAACTTGGTCTTTAACGTGTTGGTTTACACAGAAGACAAGAAATAAGGTAACACTGAGCTACTCAGAGGTTGCTCCCATCCTCCTCTCACTCCAATTGACAGACATGGCATTTCTGAGGACTTCAGGATGACAGATATGGTGACTGAAGTAAAAAACATCTAAGCTTTCAATTCTAATTTAAAATAGCACTTTCTGAGATACTTTCTATCCTGCTGAATGACAAATAGCTGATGGTGTCAAACACATGAACAGACAGACACTAAGGGAAATACACTTACTGAGCATTTAGCACTGGCTGATCTTCCACAAAACAAGCCGAATTAGCTGTAAATAGGATCGCATACCAGCCTTTTTTGGGGGTGGGGATCTAAGGGTGTGCAATGGGTGTGTGCAGGAAGATTTGCAATTAAAATTAAAAATTATCTACAGACAAAACTAGTTTTTAGAAAATCCCAACATCTATTGCAATAAAATAATCATAGTACTATGGAAAGCAAATATGTAGTGTATTTGCTTTCCTCATTTCACAGAGAGCATGACCACCTTAATTTGTTAGATATATCATTTTACATGATTAATTTCATACACCTAATGGACATTTGTGCATTCAAAGACATGATAATTCAAGGAAGATTAATGACTTCCCCAAAGCATACCCAGTCTGGAGTGCATTTTAATTATCATGAAATTACCAAACAATAACTTGAGTTGCTCTCTGCTGTCATTGTAAAGCAATGTTTTGGAAACAAGATGTTTAGTATTTGGAAAAGATGTGCCGGAGGAAACATGCACATATCTGTCAGTATGAAAAACCAGAGTGCAATTCATGTCTTTATAGAAGGACAGGAAGTTCAGATATCCAACTTTTATCTACTTTTAGGCCTTAAACATCTCTCTGCGTCTTAACACATGTACTAGCTTAGCAGAATTCTTTTTAAAGAGCTTTCAAAAATTCAAAATTTCAAAAGACATGGGTTGTCACATGAATATTTTCAATTAGAATGTGTCCACTATTGAATTTCTCTGGATCCCAGCTTTAAGAGAGCTTGGCACTTTTTTCCGCTTTTAAACCTTCCATGCACTCTTGAAAAGTGCAAGCTACTGAGGATGACAAGAGGATAAATTTATATTAAAGGAATATATTTAGGGTAAGAATATAGAAATTTACTCCTTTTTTCTTTCTTTTTTTTTTTTTCTTTTTGCAAGCATTAGGATTACATGATTCAAGTACATGATTAGCATTACATGATTCAAGTATAAAAGATTCATCAAATAGTAAAATGGATATTAAAAAAGATAACCAGAAAGCATTAAGTCAGGTGAAGGCTTATTATATTCTGTCAGTTCACATTTCTATCAACCCCTGAATTCCTGAGTTTTAGTTCTGTGAAAAATTTGTGTTTTCAGTTTCTCTACATAACCATAAAAGAAAAATAAGCAAAACCTCAATTCTAACTTGTTAATTTTCTTCTCCTTTCTCTTTTGCATAATGAGCCAAGAAGACCTTTAGCAAAAATCCTCTATATAATTTTTCAGGAACTATGGTTTCAGCTTAGAGAAATGTTTTGCAAAAAGACCACAGCTGAAAAGAAAGGCACAGAAAATATGAATGACATTACTTTTCTTTAAAAATATACAGCCGGAGATAACACAGGGTTCCAACAATTTTTAAAATTACACTCTCTTAACCATTCTCAAATACATTGCAAAGCAAGAATTTATGAACTCAATTATCATGGGATTAAAGTAATAAAACTATTATTAAGTTAATTTTTCCTCAGAAATGTACAACTGTGTAGTACAGCAGTAACACACTGTGAATCATTTGGTGTTAAATAATGCTTCATACTTCCTGCAGAGTAAAACTAGTCTTTATTGGAACATGAATGAGGGAGATTGTTCATAAACCAAGACTATAAAAACTGTTCTCTCAGTGTGAAGTAATTTAATGTACTTTCCAAGAAGCTTCCTGGATATCTGAGTCCACTGCACATCAAACCACATGATTTAGACATGTCTGGATTCATCTCCATGAAGAGACTGATCATACAACTTAAAAAACATAAAAGAAACATCAAAAAGGATTTTATGTTGAGGATAAATAGCATGCAAATAATCACTAGAGCTTAAACTGCATTTTCAAATGAAGGTGTCTAAACTGGATCACAAAGATCAATATCTAGGAACTGAACTGATGTGCCCTAATTTGCTGAAATGTTTCCTCTGAGATCTGCCCCAAAACTCATAGTTCAAGTCTTCTAAAATACAGAGGATCTTTCTTTGTAGTCCTGCATCGCCAAGCTTCTTTGTTTGAAACCAGCTGGTTTTCAAGTGTTCACTTATCATCCAAAGCAGTGAATAACTATACTTCCCTGGACATGGCAAGCACAGAAAATCCTAAACAGTTTAATTTTTTGGTGGTGTTATCTGCTCTCCTCCATCCCATGTTTGTTCTTGTTTTTATCCACTCTGCTGACATTATCAGGTCCTTAACAAACCATGCTGTGATTAACGACTTAGTTCTAAGCCCTCCTTAAAAATGTGCCCGCATTGCAATGCTATTGGGCACGGCTGACCTATCTGTACAGCACAAACACTCGTGCTTAGTCATGCTGTTGCATGCAAATGTTATCTCATTTGCCACCTCCTCAACACTTACTGGAGAACCCACTCAGTTCTGCTTTTTATTCACGTGGGCATTGCACCGAATCTCCTCCCTCTCCCTCCCATCAGAGATCCCGGATTGGGATGCCATGCAGAGTGCAGAAAGTATGAGCTGCCATAAATATTGACCTGCTGCTCCTTGTTCCTTCTCAGCAGCAGAGAACTCGAGTAAGATTGCTGCTCCCTGTGTTGCCAGCCTTTCTCTGGCCACTTCTGAAGTGGTACAAAGAGAAACAGCCCTGAACTGTAAAGCCTTTAGGCAGAAAATCTAATTTTAAAAATAATAACCAATAGAATTGTTGCAACTACTGTACCTTGTTCTACAAATAACACAAAATTGCACCATTTAATAAAATTCATAAGAGCAAGAATTTGCTACTCAGGATTTTACTTAATTATAATAGTTCAGATACTTCTATTCAAGCATTTGTCTATGAGATACAAGTTTAACCTGGCATGGATAAAAGAGATCTGAATAAAAGCTTTTAATGACATTATTTTCAGCAATTTAGTCTCCATTCAGAAAAAAGCTAGAAGCACAAATTCATGGTAATATATGGGTACACAATGAAGCTTCCATTTATTGGTAATACACAGAAGTTCTCTGCTTCCATAAAAACAGCCTACACTTTTGTGTTGGTTGCTATATTTGGAATGCTGCTTTGTGCACAGTATTCTGGGGAAGTAAAGTGATGGGCATATGTAAATCTCTGTTATACATTAGATGCTCTGTATTTACTACAGTGCATTAGACTTCAACTGAGAAAAACCAGTAGAAAAGTTACAGTTTTCTGATCTACCCAAGGATCAGGGGCTGAATCCATCTCCAAAATGATTATTGCAAGTTAACTGATTTGGCTCCATTTAGTGACTTCAGCAATGAGGACGAAAGACTGACCAGAGAGAGAAAGAATTGAAGTAATATAAGGCATATACTTATTATTGAAATATAACATATATATATATATATAACAGATATAACAGAGAAAAATGTGTTTGCAGAGCATCATTATTGAAATATAACAAGAAAAACCCTATATACAACATTAAACTAAGAAAAAATATTTCAAATTATTTATAATTTATTCTAAAATTTTAAATTAAAATTATTTCTACTTCTTATGTATGGAAAAATCAAATCCATAGGAAAATGCCACACTTTAATAACAAAAAAGCACCTCATGCTGAAATTAAAAATGCATTTTTATTACAAATTTGTTGTATTAAAAAACTATTCACATGAGTAAGAGACTGAGAAATAAGCCCTGTATTTGAAATATTTCAAATAACCACCTAAGGTAATTTTTTTGATTTTCAGCCTATGAAATACGGCAAATTCTTCTACCTGCACTTAGTTCACCATAAATTTAAATCTAAAATTATTTCCCATACATATTTCATTGCATATATGTATAAATGCATCCTATGTACTACATATCTCATAAAGGAGTGCATACTTCTCTATACATATATACATATGAGTTCAAATACATTCTTCATAACAAACAAAGAAGAAACTGCAAGGTTTGTCTTAAGAAGAATAGGTAATATGAAGCATTTGTAACTGCAGATTGTGTATAAAAGTACAAAATAATGTACTCACCATGCTACAGTCAAAATCTGTAATTTATTTTAAAACAGATTTTTATTGTAACATGAGATTAAACCACCTGCTTTCTCGACAAGAAAATATATGCTATTCCTAGTAAAAAACAAGGAGTCTTGGATGCTGACTAATGCAAGCACCTTTCTATCTAGATCCAGAGTGACTTTTTGGTTTAAAACATCTCAACAGTTTGAAGCTATTATCACTCACCATGCTCAAGTGTCAAACCTGGGTTTTGACAATGAGATTAAGAGATACACATCTTGATGTCTGCCTCTCAATACTCATCATATGGCCTCACCACTTTAGCACTGGATGCTACTTTTTCAATCTACTCATTCTCACAACAACCCATGAGTTAACCATTTTTACCATTTTCTAGATTTTCTAATTTTAAAAAGGAAAGAAATCACAGTGAGAGTTCCTGAATGTCAATCCTGCTGTCTATTTATTTGTGATTCTTTTAATTATATAATTGATGTTGCTGACAAATGGCACCTGTCTGACAGGGAAATAATAAAGAAACTTATAAACAATTCAAAATACAGAAGAAATATAGTGTGATATCGATTGCAGATTAGCTAATAGTCTCAGGATATTAACCACAAGTATTCTTATATAAAGGAACTAGCAGTAAGTATGTCAATGTAAAGTGTACCACTGCTTTACCACTTGTAGAAAGTGATACTTTCCCCAGGAATGTTATTTCACATCAAGTGGGATATTCTCAATGGAAGAAATTCAGATAATTTCTTCATAAATATAACTTTGCAAGACAAATGTTAACGCACACACTGCCTTAGTTCAAACTTCATCATGATGTATAAAATCCAGAATACTCTCTTTAATGAGAAACAAAGAAATCTAAAATATTTACAATACAAGAAGGCTACAGATCAAACTGCTAGAACACAGGTTAAACATTATGGTGACATTTTTCAGATATATCTAGGCTGAAATTAGCCCCTCTGTCACTACGACCATCTGAAGAATCACAGCTTAGTAAGGAGGTCCCATTAGATCACACAGAAATACAAAATTTGGTTTTGAGCAGGGAATGCTACATTTCCTCTCCTTGCTCAGGAGTACATGCTCAAATGTAGATTGACATACGACATATAGAAATCTAATTCTCTGAAACACTCAGGTGTAATTATTTTCCTAACTTTTGTGCTTTATATTAAAAAAAAAAAAATTGAGGTCCTCCTTACCTTGCTACTTATAATTTGGTTGTTGACCACTAAGCAAACCTTTCTGCCCTTTCTTCTCAACTATATTTTCTCAAATTTCTCTAATTCCACTCTGCCACTTCAAATCCAGAAGTTTTAGCTGCAAGGAACAAGCCTCCTTAGGGAGCATCAAAAAACTCCATTTTGGTTTGACTCATTTCGGTGATCACTATCCTTCCTTCTAATTTATGAAAGCTGTTTAAAGCCCTGTTGTCTAAACAAGGATTTGTTTCATGTAATGTAACTTATCCTTTCTTGAGTGATTAGTGGAAGACTGAAAGTGTTCTCAAAATAAGGGTAGATATCTATCAAGAAATAGTCAAGATCTCTTCATATATATATATATATTCAAAAATTGGTCAAATGCACATATGGAATCTATCAATCTGCTTACAAGCAAGTATAAAATAATCAATCTGAACTGTAACTGAAATAATCAATCTGAAACCTTTTAATATGAAAATATATATTATTTGGCAGTAGCATAATTTAGAGACATTGACCAGTAATACCTTTTTTAAAAAGAAACATTAAAATTACCTATTTGTACTGATGTCAGACCTTCCATGTTGTAATTGTTTTTTTGAGATACCTTATCTGTTAAAATTTACTTACTGTTAAAATTTGGTACACAAAGGCTTCATTTTAAATTTTTCCTCTTTCTTCATGAAATGTACACAAATGCATACACATGCAGTCAAACTACTATTGGCCTATTTCTAAAAGTTCACCAACTAGACTTTGGAAGGACATTTTTCACTTCTATAAACAGAATAGTCTCATTTGTGCTTCTTCATACTGCTTTAGTAACATGAAGCAGATATACAGATAAGACTGCAAAATGAGCTTTATGGCTGCTTTTGCAGTTTTTCCCCAAGGTAATTCTGTAAGTATTTTTATTATGAGCTAAAATGCATAGTAGGCAATAAAACTGTAGCATAATATCTCCAATTTATGCTATTATTTTTGCATTAAATGGAACAGATTCAGTTGCTTTGTCAATGTCAATGTTTCAAATAGATCTACACATAATCAGATACATATATCCCTACAAAATCACCAAGTATTTCACATATCTCATTAATATAAATGGCCAAAGAATTCTCATCAAAAATGCATCAAAAATGGAGCAAATAATTTAAGATTCAAAAGACTAAAAATGACTGCGTTATTTCCAATCAGTAATTATCATGGATTTTTTTTTTCATTCAGTCATTCTGACATATTGTTATTAAATCTTGTTCTATAGAATTTTAGGCAATGATTATTCATGTCTGCAAATATCTTATTCCAACAGCAAGGCCTCCTAGATTCTCAGCACCACAGTACATTGGGGAGTAGGTGATGCTTTTCTCTCCACACCTATACTCAGATGAACAAGTGTAGTCATTTTTCAGAAGCATATTTTGTCATACCAAATTTTTGTCATCTTAAAATGAATTATTTTATCCAGAGCTACAGTTTAAAAGCAGCCTGGGCACAGAGCAGTGGCAGAGTGCACAGGGAAAATGCTCAATCCAGCATTCTGTAGGGGGTTCCTGGTATCCATATTCAGAGATGCAAGGAGGTAAGATGCAGACTTTGCTGCAGGTATCAAATATATGTTACCAACCCTTTTTTTTTTGGTGACTGTATTTATATTCTGTGAGAAAACACTTCCTTTCCTTTCAAAATACATGGATTTTGGCCAGAAACAGCCAAGAAATATCCTGATAAATAACCGCCTTCAAATGAATACTCAGAATTATAGAAACTTCAAATGATGCTCAAAATAAACTCTACCTTTGCAAAGATGAATACAAGAGGAAACTCTACCTGCACATAGTCAATCTAAAATGACCATTAGTATGAATATTTTCTTGAAAAAAATAAATCAACACTACAAAGCAGAAGATATAATGATTGCAGGGAAAGGTTCTCCCCAAACAGTGTGGCCAAAAGGAGCCCTACCCAAGTTAGAAGGCAAATATCCTGTATGATCCTGAACCAGAGGGGATCTGTAAACTCCCACATGAAGAGACAGGACATATGTCATCCTTACAGAAACATTCCTGCTAATATTTTTAACAGCTCTTACATATTTCTCACCATTTCTCACACAACATCTAGATTTTTAATTCAGACTGATGTGGATCTAAAGTTACCTACTCCACAAGGATTTAGTTGATCTGGATGTTAGAATTCCCTGAGGATGTCCATGGAAAGCAGTTGATGAAAAGATCTTCATAAACCAACAGGTCCTTCCTCAAAACTTTTACATAAATTGTCCCATTTTATTCCTAAAATTGTTCCATTTTATTCCTAAAATTGTCCCATTTTATTCCTAATAAAAGCTTGATTTCTCTAATTTTGACATGAAAGAATGATTTTTGTTGTTCTTTACCAAGCACATTACTTCACACTTTTATGTGATTTGTGCAGCATATGATTAAGTCCAGGTAGAAAAACTGCTAAACTAAAAGGAAAGCAAAACAAAGTAAAAATTTCACTTTCAGTACAATAACATTAAGGCTAATCAAAACATTGTTTTCCAAACATAACCATCCTCCCACACCTGGAGAAGTCTACTCTTTGAGGTTAGGTGAAGAGTAAATAGAACATCATCTACTACCCTGAGACTGGGTATTAAAATGGTCCCAAGTTTCAGTAAGTTTCACAGCCTGTCTTGCATCCAACATAAGCGTAGAGAAACGTATCTGTATAAACCAGCATATTGAAATTCACACCTCAGTTTTTACATCTATTTGGATCCAGGTTGGATTTAAAGCAGGAACTGAATGCAGTTGCACATCTAGATTTCTGAAGTAACTCTTCTCCACTGTGCAATCTATTGATACTTCTACAGACTGACTGTCCTTTAGAGACCTTGAATCCAGAATTTCTGTCAAGGTTTACAAGGAGGGTTGGGTTACTCAGAATAAAGTAGTTCTTTCAGTTCTGCATGGTCTGGAGATGAAAAAAAGACAAGTAGGATGTGGTCATTTCACCACGTGTTAACTGAACATCTTTCTGAGAACAGGTGTTATAAGCTGCTGCTGAGAAAAGGGAATGGGGCAGGTACTGGTGCATGGCATATTTTTGCCTTTCTGTTTATTGTGGAATTATGCTACACTGCACCCTGTTTGGCTGAGAGAAATAATACAGGGGAGGGAGCAGCATAGGAGATGCTGTTGGGAGCTGGACTTGTAACACAGCTTCCAGTGGATGGAGAGGACATTCCAATTAGAATAATTCATGTCAGACACATGCAGAGAAGGAGAAAATTCCCATGCTTTTTGGTGTCTTTTTCTTAGAAAATATGATGCAATAGAGAATTTCTCAGCAGCATGTCTTTCCCCATATCATAAGAGTGAGAGTCACACTGCACTTGAGACAATATTTTAAACCTTACTGGCTTTGCTAAGCTGTGAGGGTAACTGACAACATGTTAACACAGAGAGGTGCAGACAGACCAAACATCTTCTCTGTGCTTTTAAGTATCTGAACTATGAAAGAGGCCATATTTTAGAAGTTTGTGTGACAGAACAGATAAGGTCGCTAACATGACTTTTGGACTGGAGGTGACTTCTGTCAATCCAGATTAGATTAGATAGAAAAAACGGACCTTTCTTTACCTGCACAGAGCAGATATATCCTAAGGCAGAAAACTACCTCTATTAAAAACTATCTCTATTTACCCCCTGAACCAGTTTCTAATTTGCAGCTAAAGCAATAAATTACTTACTCACAAAGCTGACTTTGCAGCCAAATATGTTCATTGATAACAGTAAGTGAACTGGTCTTTTCTTTGCATCACAGTAGGAGAAACTAAGGATCAAATATTTTAACCTACCCTTGATAGCCTATTGAGTTTAAAGATATATAGACACCAGTGAGTCCTACTAACCAAAAGGCATGGAGTTCATAGGACGTTCACATACAAAACATGACATTTGTATCTGAAAAAGCACTTGAAAGATAACAACAAGCTCTGGAGACTGTTAGAGATTAATGAATAAGAAAGGAATAAGGGTGTCTAAAATAGATTGCAACAATGGCTGATTCTATTCACAAGTAAAAGAAAAACATTTCTGTAAGAGATGTTATTAATTCAAGATACAATCAGTGCATGATGTAGGAAAAGGAATAGAGTGTGTCCTTTCAAAGACTTTGATTTATGCAGTTCCCTGATTTTTAAAAAGTTTCCCACACTTTTAGAAAATCTCTCTGCATAGCTACTACTTGACAGCTGTTCTGCACACAGAAATGCAAAGTGGATCCTTCATTTTGCCTTCTCTCCCCTCCAAGTTTCTGGTGGATGAATTCCTTCTAAGCCTGGCCCTGGTCTGATCCATTGCTTCAGTTTGATCTCCCTCCTCTCCTCCCCTTCCAGCTTGAGTAACAAACAAAAATCTTTGGAGTGAAGATGCCCAGCAGAAAAAGCTCCAGGCAAGGAAGTTGGAGGGAAGATAATGGTCAGTGTCAAACCACTCTCAAAGTAATGGAAGGAGAGGGAAAGGGGAGTTTCAATCTCTCCTTGTAAAAGTTGTATTGATTCAATTTTGTCCTTTTAACTGAAAAAGCTGGCTGCCTCCAGTGAAACCAGCTTTATCTTCATTCTGCTCTGTTTTCTACTTATTGGAAAGTAGAGAATGGATGAATCAGAATAATATAGTCTCTAGTTTGGACAGAGGATAAAATCAGGTTTCTCTCTGTCCTGCCAATTGTTGAACACTGTAATGATACAGGTTAGGTTCGATAATGTCAGAGGTCTTTTCCAACCTAGTTAATACTATGATTCAGTTTATTCAGTAAAACTAAGCAGATTGACTGTTTTCTCATGGAGATGAGGACAAGTCAGGCTCTTCTTCACCATAACTGCACTAAAATCAGTGGAGTTGTAGCAAGTTAGCAACTAAAGATTTGTCCTTTATCTGTCTTCTCTGCCCTGTAATAGTGAACATCAGGCATGCTGTTATTTCTTTCAGTGATATTTACAGTATAAATCAATGTATCAGGGATGTTAAGACAATGATGTTAAGGAATCAGCCTAATTATGGGAAGAGATTTGTTTCAGTATATGACCCATGACCTGTCTGCATGTGGTAGATGGGGAGGACTCATTGCTTATTTTTGTGTCCAGATCAATGCTGGCAGTTTCAATGTGCTCCTCCTTGGATATGAACAGAAATCTTTCCTTGCATTCAGTAGGTGAACAAAAAAATCACTAGTTCTGAATACACTATAAAAAAATCTTCCTTAACCATTTGGGGCAGAATTCTTGTTTAATGTAGTGGTTTCCCAAACATGGAAAAGTTGATTAGCACCTATCAGCCCCAGTGGAACTGGAAATCCCTCAAGTCACCAGAGTAACTCACACTGCAATTACAAATAAATCAACTATACCTTACGAAGTTTAATCTTTTAACATTTAGGGATTGGTTTATGTTGCTAGGTACTTTTGAGAGAAATTATTATCATGTGAGGAAATGCCATGACACTAATGGTGGGTGCATTAGAAAAAAAAGGTGTGCTTCAATTGATAGATCATCTTGAACTTATTATTATTATTAAAATCAGTGTAATTTGTACCAGGAGGATTTTTTTAAGTGATTTAATAGAGTTGATATGTAATCACATAAAACCTTTTCCTACAAACTTAATGGCAATACCAGTGAGAAATCAGGAGAAGGCTCTAACTCTACATATGCTAAAAAAAGTAATATTGTATTTCAAACTTTTTTCCTTATTTGGTACCATATGTAATAAAGCTGAAGTTAATCCATAACCACAATGATTTTTTTTTTTACATGTCACAAATGTTACACATCCAAGTATTAAAAAATTCAAAAGTGAGCACTGCTATGAGGGGTAAACTACCCATTGTTTAGAATTCAGAAAGTAATTCTATAACCAATATGTTATATCGTAACTAAGCAAATATATATTCTCACCACGTACAGTTTGAAAGATGATTCATTTCAGTAGTTCAGTAACTATATAAGTGCTAAAGATTTCAAATTTTATCAGCACTCTGAACAATTTTATGAGGTGATTATGTGAATCTACATCCATCAAAGATCCTATTCTATGATGAAAAGTTAATGTTTCGGAGAACTCGAGTGCTCCCTTTGGCTGTGTGATTCTGATTGAAAGCAGTTACCCAGCAATAAGGATTGGTTTGGACTGACATGAGCAAACATAATGACAAAAGCAAGTATTTTTTGAGCATGGGCTTCAATGACTGAGTAAATATTTTGTGGAAAACTTGAAAAGTTGACATCAAAAAAATATCAATTATAACTGTTCTGAAATAGCTTATTTCTATAAAATGTGAAGAAACCCTCATTTTTTATAGAAATAAAACTCCTAAAAATTAATGTGAAGCCCTCTTTGGAAGTAGATGAAATGATATGACCCATAAAGAAGAGAGCAGACAAGGTTTTGAGCAAGCAACAGGAATTTTAAAACATATATTAATGATGTATGTTTTAAATACACACATTTAATGTTGGCATGTATGCCTGTTTTTAAAAGATGTACAGTGGCATGTATGCCTGTTTTTAAAAGATGTACAGCAGGCTTGATCCTAAAGCTCATCCTGTAATAATAGTGTATTGCATTTATCTGTGAAACACTTTTAAAACACAGATACTTATACAGAAGAAAACTCTAATTGCATCATAAATCAGAAGAGCAAAGCATTTTTTAAACATAAACTGAACTAAAATCTATCAAGTTCAGTAGCACTGAGCAGCTTTCAAAAGCAACTGACAGGTGTTTTGTTCACTATTTTAATCTTTTTTTAATGAACATCCTCTCACAGTTGTAAATTCATTGTAAAATAAAAATATTGTGCTAGCATCTACTTCTGTTTTCAATAACAAAGCAAAAGCAACAGAAGCAAACCAGGGTTTTTAGTCTGTTACTTTCACTTTTTTCATTTCACAGCTCTTACAGCTGATGCTCTCTATTTTAACAGATCAGACACCAAACCTACAAACAGCACAAACTGAGTAACCACTTTACCTTCTGAAAAATCAATCAGTCCCAGCAAATGAAGCAGCTTCAGAGATGCAAATATAATCACAACAATACCCACTGTTTGCAGTCCCTCCGACTCCCACTCGAGAGTCAACATTCTTCCAACAGGCAAATCATTCCAGTCTTCACACCGGTTTGCAATCAGAGGGAAATTAGAGGATTTTACCAAGAGTTTGCTTTGAAGAAATTTGCAGTAGTGTAAAGCACCACTACACCAAGCAGTGGCAGCTCAGCAGCCACGCTAGCTGAGATAAAATATTAGCTAAAGCCCAGCATCTCATGCTGCTCCGAGCATTTGCTTTCATCAGTAGCGAGTCCTCCTAGAAGGCTGAGGGGGACCGCGAAGCTCTGGGGATGACATTGTATCCGTGGAGCTGCTGGGGGAACATCTGTGTCGAGCAGGGACTTGGCTGTGTCAGTGCCAAGAAGAAAAGCTCTCTAGAAACTTGCACAGGGAGCACACTCGGTGCTCCAGCACTGCAATCCTGCCCAGCTCGCAGCCCTTCCCCAGCTCCTCTCAGCACCGTTTTGTCAAGTTTGAGCAGTGACAGTTTGATAAAGACACACATCTGTTTTCACCTGCTAAATGCTGCGTGTCAGAAAAACACCGCCCTCTGCATTAGAAAGAACAATGATCAGAGAAACGCTGCCCCTTCCTCTCCTGAAGCATCACCAGAGTCTAATTAAATCTTCACTGAAAGTGAGAATAGAAATTAAAGAAATACACATTAGCATGATCAGTGCCGCCAGCTAGCAAAATATTGCGCTGTCAAGGAGACATAGACATGCACTGCCCAAACTCCTGATCCATGGCCGGGAGGAACGTATTCTTTATTGAGTAAGAAACAAAACAGTGCTTTTCTGCCTCAGCACTAAAAGTGCTGAACCCCAAACTCTGATATGCATTAATGGGTATTAAGCATTTTCCTGGGAAGATCTTACCCAGGCTACACATCAGGGGAAAAGAATCCCAGCTGATTTATTAGATAGTTTGTATAAAACTAATAAACACAATTAGTTGTATAAAACTAATTGTGTTTATTAATGCGATTACCAAAAGGATACCCAGTCTGAAGAATATGCTCTGAAGAATATTTTTACAGCACATGTATAACCAACACAAGGTTATGCCTAAGTTCTTACCCTTGTGCACATCCTAAAAATTTAAATAAATCCTGTCTATTTCTATACAAAACACAACAATAAAGCCAAGGGAAGCCTCAGAAAAAAATATTTTAGATATTTTTATAATTAAAATATATGTTCTAGCACTAAGAAAAACACATAAATTATGTCCAGTATTAACTACTCTGGTTGCTAAACTCTTTTGACTAGAAAAAGTTTTGCTATCAAGAAGTTCAGGTATTTCTATTTTTGTTCAAAAAGCCATTATAATTTTAAATTAGTGTAGCAAGTTGTAACATTAACAATGCATTGTTTATGGGCTACTACGTAGAGTAAGAAAATGTAATATATAATTTATTATCAGTTTTTTCTGCTTTTCTTTAAGGGCTGTACACATTGAAGGACAGAACTCTAGAATCTATATATTTTTATTCATTAAAAATTGCATGTGTGTGCTTCAGTTAATTTTAGGTTATATCTAGTCAATATATATGCAAAAATATTCTTTCATTTTACACTTCTGGGTATTTCATACTAGAATGTTGTGAGTTCTGTATTATTTATATATGCTCTCAGTCTGAGTGTCAGTTCACTTTCCCATTAACCTGTAAAGATAAAACAGTGTCATAAGAAGAATGCACAGTAAAAATAAATCAAACCAAATACACTATCCCACATTTGCACCTTCCAAATATGTCATTATTTTACCTCATATTCCATATTAATGATTCAATACATTTTCCTGTAAAGTTCTTCTCCTCTTAAAAGAAAAGTAACATTTTGTTTCCCCCCACAGAATTCTTAGGTACTCCATATAATCTCCTTTTAAGGCCCTGACATGTCAATCTTGACCTCATTCTCATCTCTGGCTTCTATTTTTTACTTGAGGCTATTCCTACTTAGGTTTTTCTTTTTCTCAAATTTGTGTTCTTTTTCTTCAATTACAAAGCATGAACAAATGTTTACAATATTGCAGAAACAATAATCCTAATATAATGCCACACTCACAGTACAGCCGTGAAAGACACCTTATTTATCTCTAATAAATGGTTTTAGGGAAATTATTAAAATGGCGAAATCAGTCAGTCAACATTCTCCTTTCAAGCAGTAGGTTCAGGCTGCCTTGTGCTCTTGAGCTGCCCACTTCAGGAACAGAGGCCCTTCTGCTCTACCACTGAAGGTGCCAACCCACTGACAAGTGAAAGCCACCCAGCAAGAAGTGGTCCCAAAGAGAGCCAAGGTTTTGTTTTCTGCTTTCACACAAGAAGAAAGGCCTGGACCTCTTAAAGAAGACGAAAGGGAAAAAAATTATGATTTTGATGAGTTTTAGGGGCCAATTCTACCTACACAGAAAATGAGTTACAGAAGAATGTTTAAATTAAAAAAAAAAAAAAGAAAAAGCTGAGAACATCCACTTGAGTTATTGTAACTGATTACTGACTTCAGAGAATACCTCCTTAAAAAAGAAATAGACTTTTCCTGTTGTTTCTCATAATAGTTCTCCAAGTTGGGGGAACCATACACTGAATTCGTGAGTCTCCAAGCCTTAACCCTAGAAAGTAAAGCAGCAAGGTTAAGAACAATGTAGAAAGGAGAAGGAAGTGATACATGAAATCTTTCCCTCAATATGGCATGCAACAGATGAAAACATCAATATTACTTAGAGATGTGAATTCTTCTAGAAGAAGTTCAATTAAAAAATTCTATGCCCCAAAACATTTGAACATTTAATCAGTCTTGAATAAGGAGATAAGAACAAGCTGTTATATGTACAGCAACTCTTTGCATGCTAACCCTTCTAAATTCAAACTCCATTGGAATTTCTCTCACACACTTCTTATTTTTTTCAATAATTTGAAAACAAATATTTGTCTGACACATTCTTATGTGGTGCCTGTATTGACTGTACAAACAAATTTTGAAAGTTGTTGAAAGAAGAATTTTTCCATAACATATCCCTCCTGGATACAAAATGAAAGATCATTTTTTACATAAAATTGAAAAAAAAAACCCAAACAAACCAGGGGATGACATCTTATAATATCCAAGCACTGCTCTGGCTTGTTCTCTTTCCCTAAATCCAGCTTTCATTTTTGACTTTGCAAGTCATTCTGGTGGTGATTGAGCAATACATTTAAGCTTGGAGAAACTTCCTTGCGATTCTTCACTAGGTTGCACAGAGGGAAAAATAAAAGTACTAGAATTTGTTATGACGTTATCCCATCTAAACATTGCACTTTCCACTGTCCTTAAATTATTCTCCATTCAGATTTGAAGCAGACAAGGAAGGAGATGCAGTGGGGTAGCCCTGTATGTTAGAGTCCTGATCATCTAGAGTGCAATGATGGTGACAACAGGGTGGAGTGTTTATGGGTGAGAATCAGAGGAAAGGCCAGGAGGGCAGATACCATGGTGGAAGCCTGCTACAGACCACCCTATCAGGATGAAGAGGCACACAGAATGTTCTGTAAGCAGCTGGGAGAAGTATGATTGCTAGCCCTTGCTCTCATGGAGGACCTTAACTTGCCAAATGTCTCCTGGAAATCCAACACAGCAGCGGGCCGACAGCCTGGACGGCTCTTGGTGTGTGGCAGATAAGTGCCTGCCACAGCTGGTGAGGAAGCTGATGAGGGGAGAGGTCCCAGTGAACCTGCTGAGTAATGGGGTGCTTGTAGGCCATCTCAGGGGCAGCAATTGTGAAATAGAAATTCTCATAAAACAATTTCAAAAATTGTGAAATTGTGAAATTATCAGAAAACTCTGGAGGGGACCTCAGCAGAAAGGCCATGTTGGACTTCTGGACACTGGCTTGATAAGGTTGAAAAAATCCTGTTGGAGGCAGTCCTAAAGGGTGAAGGAGTGCAGGGAGGCTGGAAGTGCCCTAAGGAAGCAATATGACAGTCACAGGAGTAGGCTGCTCCCTGTGTGCTAAAAGATGAGCTGAGGGGAAGACAATTGGCCTGGTTGAGCAGAGAGCTTCAGCTGGAACTCAGGACCTCTGCATAAAAACAAGTACAAATTTCTCTCTCCTAAGTAAATATTCAAGAGGCACCTGTGCTAAAGTGCTGTAGGAGATATACATTACCTGGAAGCACAAACCCCAAGTGAGTTTTGAGCTGGAAACAGTAGATATGTCTATACTAGTGGCATCTACAAGAATGATCTACTTCTGGAGTCCCAACATTTTTCCACAAACAATACCAACTAATTACTGGCTACTCTAACCATTTTAAATAGAATCATTTGTGAGATGCAAATAACATAAAAAGGACACCTTAAATAAGACAGTGTGTTATGCACTAAGTACATTTTGTAACTGACTGCTGTATCCTTGTAGAATACAATCAATTTTCCCTAAGAAAAAAAACCACTCAGCAACACTCAGAAATATTATTTGTAAAGCTAAGCAATAGGAAATTAAATTTCATTAATTTCAAAGTTGGCTAAGAACAGAGAAAGTCTGCCATTTAAAGACACACAATTCTATCTAATTTAACACAGCAAAAGAAGTAGCAAATGCTTAAGAATAACAACAGGATGCTAATAATTGAACAACTAAGGGATAAAACAATTTAAAATACTAGAAATATGTAAATAATACCTAAATAAGAATTCAATTACTAGCATATAAGGATATAAAATTTCCCTGCAACTTAATTTGGTTACCTACTCCTTTCAAAATTATCTGGTATTATCACATTCCTTTTATACTAATCCAGTCAGTTTTGGATCATATCTGTCATTGTAATTAGCACAGTAAAATGACATGTATTTTCTTTTAATTCCCTTAATTCTCTTCCTCAATTCTCTTCAATAATTTTTTTTTCCATGTTTAGAAGAAATTTTTACTGGAAATTATAAACTTATCTTTTCAAATTTCTTTTGGCTCTTAGAGACAACCTACCTGATCCCTAATACATTGAAGTGTTTAATGTCTTTTCACTATATTTTCTTTTTAACATCTGCTTGTAAACAATATCAGTCTTTTCAGACTTCTCTCTTTATACTGAGAATGATTTTAATTTCTGTGCAGACTTTCTGGATTTGCAGTTGTCTAATGTACAGTGGGGCTGACCAAAACTGAACCATTTTCAAGGCAAGGATGTATTACTAGTCCTTAATTGACTTGAATTTTTCTGCCTTCCTAGGTGTTAAAATCTTCACAGTGTTACAATTAATGTGTGTGTGCGCGTGTGTGTGTGTCTTAATTGGCTGGGAGTAACAGCTCATTAGACTCTATTCGATATTTTCCCCCAACGTATCTGAAAAGGGAAACCGCGGATGAGTTAGAAATAGAAACAAAATTTGGAAGTATTAATTAGCTGCCCTTCTTTCTGTACTCTCTT